CTCTATATATCCCAAACTATAATTCCATTATTCTAGATGTGTTGAACTTCAGTTCTCATATCATGTCCAACACACCTGGAAGGGACTATCTTGACTGAGGAAAACTGGTGTGAATTGGTGTGACAAGCAGCCCTTCCTTCTTGGAAGTTGTTGACTTCACAATACCTCTTACTTCTCGCCTTCCTTCCTACAGGCTTTGCCGCCTTAGTGGCTACCTCGTGGTATGGCAACCTTGTGGCACAGGACTTTTTCAACCCCTACACCCCAGTCAACACCAGGTAAGTCACATCTCAATGAAAACTCTAGACTCCACCGATAGGGTGGGGCAGAAAGATCTCAATGAAATTTAGGTTGACCTTCTGCTGATGGAATAACAGAGTTGGAAGGGACCTTGGGAGGTCTTCAAGTCCGACCCCCCGCTCAAGCTGTTGAGCCTGTTACCATTCTGGATCAATAGCTGTTCCATCCCTTCTTAAAGACCTCCAGGGATGAAGATGAATGAAGACGAATCGGCGTGGTGATTGCCGCTTTAAGACTGAGGGTGGGCCCCACAGGGCTTTACCACTTTAAGAAGCTGTCTATATATAAAGGCGGCCGTGAGAGGGAATATCTCTTTTCTCCTTGTGTTCTGTCTCCATTGTAGAGTAAAGAAGATGGATTTATTGCCAGATATTTGCCTACCACATATAAGTATGTATATAGCAATCCTGTATATGCACCGCTGTTAAAAGACAAAGCCTCTGTGTGCTGTGTTGTGCTCCTGGCTTGTCCCACAATAGTTATCACACTGCAAACACTCTGATAAGTTGCACCCACAACTTCCGGAGGCAACTTATCCGCTGATTGACCGTCAGGACATTTCTCCTTAATTCCAGGTTGCTTCTCTCTCTCCTTGATTAATTTCCATCCGTTGCTTCCTGTCCTGCCTTCTGGGGTCTTTGGAAAATAGCTTGACTCCCTCTTCTTTGGGGCAGCCCCTTAAATAAGGGGACATTGCTATCGCCTTTCTCTTCCTTAGACTAGACATACGCCGGTCCTTTAACTGTTGTTTATACATTTTAGCCTCCACTCCCCTGGTCATCTTTGGTGCTAGTCTCAACGTATTTTTTCCTATCGTGAGCAAAACTGGATGCAGTATTCCAGGTGTGGCCTTACTAAGGCTTTGTAAAGAGGTGCTAATACTTCGTGTGATTTTGACTCTACGCCTCTGTTTAAACAACCCAGGATTGCGTTAGCTTTTTGGGCTGTCTCCGTCCATGACTGACTCATATTTCATGGATCATAGTATGACTCCAAGATTCCTCTCACAGTTGTTTATTGGTTTTGAGCCAGGTTTCGCCTAATCTGTATTTATTTGTACCTTTGGTTTTTCCTGCCCAGGTGTAAAACTTTGCTTCGACAAAATTCATTTTGTTGGATGAGACCTGTTCTCGTTCGAGCCCGTCGAGATCTTTTTGGATCCTGAGCTTGTCTTCTGGGGTGTGGGCTAATCCTGCCAGCTTAGTAACATCTGCAAATTTGAGGCGTTCCCCTTCTATTCCCTCCTCCAAGACGGAACCTTGGAGTGTCCCACTGTTTACTTGTCTCTATGTGGATGTAGTACCATTAAGGGCTACTCATTGAGTACCATTTGTCAGCCGGTTACAAATCCATCTGGTGGTGATACTGTCTATCCCTGTTTCCAGTACTGATAAACAGATCAGCAGATGATCAGAGTTGGAAGGGACCTTGTAGGTCATCTAGTCCAACCCCCTGCCCAAGCGGGAGATCATACACCATTTCTGACAGGAGACAGTCCAATCTCTTCTTGAAAGCTTACACTGGTGAAGTTCCTACAACTTCTGAAGGCAACTTCTGTTCCATGGGTTAATAGTTCTCACTGTCGGAAAGTTTCCCCTTATTTCCAGATTGAATCTCTCCTTGATCAGTTTCCATCCATTGTTCCTTGTCTGGCCTTCGGGGGCTTTGGAAAATAGCTTGACCCCCTCCTCCTCTCTGGGGCAGCCCCTCAAATATTGGAAGACTGCTATCCTGTCTCCCCTGGTCCTTTTGTTCATTAAAGTCAGATTAAAATCAGATTAACAGAGTTGGAAGGGACCCTGCAGGTCATCTAGTCCAACCCCCCGCCCTCAAATATTGGGAGGCTGCTCTCCTGCCTCCCCTGGTCCTTCTCTTGCCTCGACTAGCCAGGCCCGGTTCTTGCAACCGTCCATTGTATGTTTTAATCTCCAGTCTCCTCATCCTCCTGGTTGCTCTTCTCTGCACTCTTTCCAGAGTCTCAACGTCTCTTTTTATGGTGTGGTGACCAAAACTGGATGCAGGATTTGAGATGTGGTCTTACTAAGGCTTTTTCTAGCTTACCAAGAAGTAGGTCGTGGTCTACTTTGTCGAATGCCTTACTGAGGTCTGAGTATATTATATCCACAGCGTTTTGCTGGTCTACTAAGTCTGTCACTTTGTCGAAGACTGAAATAAGATTGGTTTGGCATGGTCTGTTTTTTAACCAACCTATTCTGGCTTCCCCCCCAAAAAACCCCCGACTGATTTCTTCTAGTCCCCTGCTCAGGCCACCTGCTCCAATCTGGGCCGCTGCCATTGGCTAGTGAAAGTCTAAAATTAATTTCCAAGAAGGCATGTGCGCAATCTGCTATATGGCGAGGCGCGTTGCTCTCCGGCGCCTTTTTACAACCCAGCCATGTTTCCCCAGACCGTATCTGGGCCCTGGGAAAAGCCCGTGCCAACGAGAGAGCTCATGCAATTCCACCTTCCCTTCGGAATCTCACCTGGCCTCCCGCTTTCATCCTCGCAACCTCAAGGAAGGCAGCCAAGGCGCGCAGGCTGCAACCTGTGGGTCATGTGGTGTGTGGAATTTGGGAACCAGCCAGAGGACGTGAACGAGGGAACAGCCGGTTCTCAAGCAGTGTCGGAATGGCAAGCGGGGATGTTTTAGACCTGCGGGGACAAGCGAGGAGGTCATTGCCGGGAGGAAGATCACGGCTTGGCCACTTTGAGATGGGTGGACTTGATAAGGTTTCCCGGTTGAGCAGGGGCTCGGACTAACAGAATAACAGAATGTAGAATAAAAGAGTTGGAAGGGACCTCGGAGGTCTTCTAGTCCAACCCCCCGCCCAAACAGGAGACCCTACACCATTTCTGACAGAGGGCAGTTTAGTCTCTTCTTGAAAGCCTTCGAGGATGAAGCTCCCACAACTTCTGAGGGCAACTTCTGTTCCATGGGTTGATTGTCCTCCCTGTCAGAAAGTTTCTCCTTATTTCCAGGTTGAATCTCTCCTTGTTCAGTTTCCATCCATTATTCCTTGTCTGGCCTTCAATGGTGTTTTGGAGAATAGCTTGACCCCTTCCTCCTCCTCTCTGGGGCAGCCCCTCAACTATTGGAAGATGCTCTCCTGTCTCCCCTGGTCCTTTTGTTCATTAAAATCAGATTAAAGTCTGATTAACAGAGTTGGAAGGGACCTTGTAGATCATCTAGTCCAACCCC